AACATGATAACCAAATGTAGTTTAAGATTGCAGTTCAAGATCAGAAAAGTCATTACGATGAATCTCCACATTTAAGGGAAAATATATATATGATCTCAATGGTTGATAAAAAGGACTTCAGAAAAATTCAACATTTACTCCAGATAAAAGTATTTACTGAAAAAGGAATTAATGGATACTGTAACATGATCTTACACACACACACACACACACACACACACACACACACACACACACACATGCTCTCTCAAGCCTAAAAGTATCTTACTTAGTTTAGGCAGAAACAGGTAAGAGTGCCCACTAATTTCACTGTTATCTGATAATGTATTAGCCACTGGAATCAGGCAAAAAATAAATAAATAACAATGAGAGAGAGACCTAAGACTTGGAAAGGAATAGTTAGGACTATATTTGCAAAAGTTTTGATAATATATTTGTAAAAAAAACTAAGAGAATCAATGCTAAAACTAACAATTTGAGAATTCAGAAAAGTAACAGGATACAAAATTAACATATAAAAATCAATATCCTAGATTTCTGCTTCTAGCAGAAGTTATAACAGGAAACAGATCAACCCTCACACCAATAATAATCAAAACATCAGACATTAAGAGAATGAAAACACAAGCCACAAACTGGGAGAAAATATTTGCAAACCAGATAGCTACTAAAAGACTTGTATCCAAAATATACAGAAAAATCTTAAAACTCAACAATTACTGTAGAAAAAAAACGAACCAATTAAAAAGTGGGCAAAAAATGTCAGTTACCAGACCACAATAAAATTAAGCTAGAAACCAGTAACAGAAAGATCACTGGAAAATCCCAAAATGTGTAGAGATTAAACAACACATCTCTAAATAACACACAGATCAAAGAAGAAATCTCAATGAAATGAAAATGAAAACACAACTTATGAAATTTTGTTGGATTCAGCAAAAGCAATGCTTAGAGGGAAATGTAGCTTTGAATGCATATATTAGAAAAGAAGAGAGCTCTAAAGTCAATAATCTAAGTTTTCACCTTTAGGAAACTAGAAAAAATAAATCCAAAATGAGGAGAAAAAAATAATAAGAATTAGAGCAGAAATCAATAAAATTGAAAACAGGACATCTATAGAGAAAAACCAACGAAACCAAAAGCTGGTTCTTTGAAAAGATCAGTAAATTTGGTAAGTCTCTAGCTAGACCAAATAGAAAAAGAAAGAGGGAAAACAAAAACTACTAATATCAGAAATGAAGGAGGATATCACTACTGACCCCATGGACATGAAAAGGATAATAAGGAAATATTCTGAATAACTCTATGCCCACAAATTTGATAACTTAAATGAAATGAATCAATTCCTTGGAAGGATACAATCGGCCAAAACTCATGCAAGAAGAAACAGGGTAACAGAACAGGCTTATCTCTGTTAAAGAGATTGGATCAATCATTAACTACCTTTCAAAACAAAAAGCACCAGGCCCAGATGGGTTCACTGGTGAATTCTACCAAACATTCAAGGGAGAACTTATACGAATTCTCTACAATTTCTTTCAGAGAACAGAATCAGAGGGAACACTTCCTAACTCATCTATGAGGCCAGCATCACCCTAAAACAAAAACCAGACAAGACATTACAAGAAAAGAAAACCTCCGACCAATATCTCTCATTAACATAGATGGAAAAATCCTCAACACAATATTAGCAAACCAAATTCAACATGTGAAAAGAACTATACACAAGGACCAAGGAAATTTATCCCAGGTGTGCAAGTCTGGGCCAACATTTGACCAATTTGAAAACCAATTCACGCAATCCATCACATCAATAGGCTAAAAAAGAAAAATCACCAGATCTTATCAACAGATGCAGAAAAAGCACTTGACAAAATCCAGCATCCACTCATGATAAAACGTCTTAGTGAAATAGAAACAGAGGGGAACTTCCTCAATTTAATAAAGAACATCTACAAAACACCTCCAGCTGACATCACACTCAATGGTGAGGAACGGGAAGCCTCCCCACTAAGATCAGGCACCAGGCAGGATGGCCCCTCTCACCACTCCTTTTCAGCCCCGAACTGGAGTCCCTGCTAATGCAATAAAGCAAGAAAAGGCAACAAAAGGTACACTATTGGGAAGGAAGACATGAAACTGTCTTTGTTCTTAGATGACAAGGTGATCTATCTATTCAGAAAATCCAAAAGAACCCATGAGAACAACTCCTGGAACTAATACACAATTACAGCAAGGTGACAGGACACAGGTTACTACACAAAAACCAGTCACCTCCCCATATACCCCCAACAAACAAGTGGGATCTGAAATTCAAAGCACAGTAAAACATTTACAGTAGCACCAAAAAATGAGATACTTAAGCATAAGACTAACAAAATATGTACAAGATCTCTATGAGGAAAACAACAGAACTCTGACGGATGAAAGCAAAGAACGAAATAAGTGGAGAGATGTCCCCATCCTCACGGACAGGAAGAATCCACACTGTCAAGGTGTCGGTTCTTCCCACCTTGACCTACAGATTCAAGGCAATCCCAGTCAAAATCCCAGCATGTTATTTTGTCGACAAACTGATTCTGAGGTCCACATGGAGGCAAAAGACGCGGGACATCCAATACAGTACTGATGAGAGTGGTGAGAGGGCCGATGCCACCCAACTTGGCAACTTCCATGAACTACATAGTCATCAAGACGGCGTGGTGTTGGGGAAAGAACAGACAAACAGACCAATGGGACAGAAAGGAGAACCCCAAAATAGGTCCCCGTAAACATGGTCAACTGATTTTGACACAGGAGCAAAGGCAACAAAATAGCCTTTTCAACAAATGTTATCGCAATAACTTGACATCCACATGCAAAAAATGATCTCAACACAGACCTCACACCCCTCACAAATATTAAGTAAAAATGGCTCATAGGCCTAAACATTAAGTGAAAAGTATAAAACTCCTAGGAGATAACACAGGAGAAAATGTACATGACCTTGGGTATGGGCAATCCTTTTTAGACATAACACTACCTATAACCCATGAAAGAAATAATAAGCTGGATTTCATTGAAATCAACAGCTTCTGCTCTGCAAAAGATAATGTTAAGAGAATGAAAAGACAAGCCACAGACTGGGAGAAAATATTTGCAAAAGACACATCTGATAAAATACTGTTATCCAAAAACGTACACCACCTCTCAAATTCGACAATAAGAAAACAAACAACTTGATTAAACAATGGGCCCCAAACCTTAACAGACACCCAGCAAAGGAGATATACTGACGGCAGACCAGCACATGAAAGCGTGTTCCATCGTGTGTCATCAGGGCACTGCAGTGCTAAACACTGAGACACCACCGCAAACCTATCAGAACAGCCAGAATCTGCCACGCTGACATCATCAAATGCTGGGGGACGTGGAGCCGGGGGCACTCTCCCTCACTGCTGCTGGGGATGCAGATAGTACGGCCAGTTTGGTGGTTTCTTACACAATTAAACACACTCTTGCCATACGATCCAGCCATCGCTGTCCTGGGCGGTTACCCAAAGGAGCTGAAAACTCATGTCCACACAGAACTGCACACAGATGTGTGTCGCAGCTTGATCCATAACTGCTGACACTCAGAAGCAGCCGAGGAGCCCCAAGCAGGTGATGGATGAATAAACTGCCCAGCCAGACAGTGTAGTTCACGCAGCACTAAAAACACACGAGCTGTCACATGTGAAAAGACACGGAGGACCCTTAGAGGCATGTTGGTAAGTGAGAGAAACCAATCTGAAAAGGCTGCTGTGTGATTCCAACTGTATGATGTTCTGGAAAAGACACAACTATGCGGACAGTACAAAGGTCAGGGGTTGCTGGGGGGGGGGGGACATCTGGACGCCAGTGAACAGAAGCCAGGTGGGGACGCTGGGTTTGTCCTCAAGCTAATCAAGAAAGAATCAGGTGGGGGCTGATTTCTGGGAGTCTGGGAAGACAGGCCCACTCGCACTCACAGGCGGGGACAAGCGAATGGCCCAGGCGAGCTTTCTCCCACGGAAGCAAGAGGAAAGGGGCGCTAAACAGCCCGAGCCACCACCTTCCACTGCGGTACCTGGGACTGTCCACTGGTCTAGGGCTCCCAGGTGAGAGCACCCGAGCAAGAGAGGACAGGTCCACACACGTGTCTGTGTGGGGACACGTCTGCCACAGGCAGGCATGAGGCCACACTGGCCTACTCGAGGCCAAAAGCTTCGCGTGGCCCCACGTCAGCTCTGCTTCTGCGGTCTCCCCGTCTCCTCTCGGCACATCTCCTCTGTCCTCGTGCTCACCAAACACCCAGGCACCTTCCGCTCAGTCAGGGGCCTGCACTCGTCACCTGCAGGTCTCCCCACTCGACAGAGGGCCTTGAAGGCAGAAATGGCCTCTTGTGCACCCTGCACCCTCAGTGCCTGCACACAGTCAGTCCTGAGAGTCCGCTCAGTTGGAACCTCAGGAACGTGAGTGATTGGGGGGAAGGAAGAGGGACGCTCAGGCCAAGACCTGGGGGGACCTCAGAGCAGCGACGACAGGGTCCCTGAGTGGGTGGGCGGGCCACACCCTGAGAACCTCCTCCTCGCCTGCTGGTTCTTGCCCCAGCCACGGTTCTCAGTCGCTTTCGTGCAACTCTGAAGATTGTGACCGTCCTGTGGTCTGTCTTCCTGATGAGACCGGAAGCCCACGAGGGTAGCCCTGGCCCCGCACTCTCCCAGAGGCCTCGCCTTAGCTGGTGACTTGCAAATGTTTTTGGCAGTGAGGAGACTAGCGCTTAAGTGAGATACCAAAGAGCAACGGTGCTCTTCGGGGGCGCTGGAAGCGAGGGGCTATTAAGGCAAAGGTGTGGCAGCAAATTACTCTCTCCAGCTGGGGGAACAAGTCACAGAGGCCACCTCGGTCCCTAAGCAGCTGCCATGGAGCAGGAGAGAAGGGGGAAGCAAAGCGGCCTAAACAAGGTGGGCCCGGCCCCACTGGTACCGGGAGATACTCACTGGGGACAACTGTGGTCTCCCCGGGAGGGCTGGTCGGCGTCACTGGGACCTGCCCGGCAGCACTTGGGCCCGGGGGCTGACTGCCCATCCGAGTGACGTTACGCTGGTTATCTGCATCCTCTGGCTGCTCCTCCACCTTCTGTAGGCAGGTGCTGGGAAGTGTGTGCACAGGACCCACGCCCATCATCCCACTGGCCTCCAGGTCGCAGTGTGGCTCCCTTCAACCAAGAATGCACATCAGTCTGATGCAGCCCCAAACTCCTATTCAGTCTACAAAACCCAGCTCCTTAAAACCCTATCTTGGAGCCAATCATTCCCTGACCACCTCATGTTACTGTGGCATTGCACTTTTTTTTTTTTTTTAGCTGAGCCATCCTGCCACCTGTTGGCAGCTCAGCGGCAGCTCAGCTCAAGCCGGAACTCGAACTGCTGTTGCTCAGAGCTCAAACTCTTGAGCGAGCTCTTAACCGACTGAGCCACTCGGCAGGCCCTACTTTTTTTTTTTCATCACCCTGCACACTTCTGAGTTTTTAGGTCTGAAAGGTAGAGACAGGGCTGACTCACCTGCCTATCCCTGGCACAAGGCCAGGCATACCTGGCATCACAACATGTGTGTGGAACAGAACAGTTTGTAGAATGAAGAGACCCGGAGGAGGGTGTTTCCCGAAGCCACCCCACCTGGGCGCCACCAGGCCAAAGCCCAGCACAGAGCTCTGCACACAGATGGTGTGAGGCTAGTGGTCCTGTGCGGAGGCCTCTGGACGCATGGGTGGCTCTGGGTGGCTTGCGGCAGGTCGGCAAGCATGGAGGCTGCTGGCCTGGAGCCTCGGGGCTCCTGTCCCGTCCCAGCCGGCCTGGGGGTCTTTTCTGTCGTGGCCATACAGCCGAGCCCTCCCTTCCGCCCACTTAGCCCAGGGCCGCCTCCGGCTTGCAACAGGGCCTCCTGACTGTTTCCTCCACAGCGTTCCCCAATTACCTCTTTTCCCGGGGCTACTTTGTTCTTCCCAAGCCGAAGTGTCCCAAACCAGTCCCAACCACTTCCCAGGAAGCCCTCTCTTCCTTCCGCGTACCTTAAGGTGGCGGCTGACACCCACTGGGCACAGCCGTCCTGCCACGCAGCTCTGAGCGTTTCACAGGCCACCTCGACGCCCAGGGCAGGAGGCGGTGGCCTGTCCCCGTCGCCCCGCGCGCCCCCGCGCCACTCACTTGGGCTGGTGGTTCCGCAGCTCCTTGGCGGTGTCCCTGGCCTCGGCCTCGCCGTCCTTCTGCGCGTCCTCGCGGGCGGGCGGCGCCCTGTGCCGGGCCCGGTGCCGCCGCGCCGGCTCCTCCCCGCTCTCTGCCTCCCTGCCGCCGGCCCGGGGGCCGCGGTGCCGCGCTCGCCGCTCGCCCTTGGCCCCGGGTGCCGAGCCCTCCTTGCCCGGGTCGGGCACGTGTCG